TCCAGTTGGTCCAGTAGTTGGACACGATAAGGACTAATAGTTGGACATTATAAGAAAATACGCATGATATTTATTTACATACAATTTTTGCATTTGTATATTAGTTAATATTGTCAGCTATTAAATTTATTAGTTAGTCATTTTATGTTAATTAATTCATTATTTAATTAGATGAATCTAATTAAATAATTAGACAAAAACTTAACAGGCTTTAATTAAAGCCTGTTAAGTTTTTGTCCAACTACTGGTGCTGCTGGTTTTTGAGGTTATGAAGCAGAAGGTAAACTTGGACACTCATTTTGATTAGTTTGAGACTTATAATTTTTACATTCTCATAAAAAATGAGAAAGTCTTGTTTTTTGATAAATTTTTAGCTTAGAAATTAAAAAATTGAATTATAACCAACAGAGATCCAAAAGCTAATATTAAAAAACGACATATATTATTTTTTCATTTACATTGAAAGCAGTTCTAATTCTTTTTGTTACTGTCCATCTATTGGTTCCATTTTTTGCAATGTCCAGGTACTGGTGCTTTTACTTATGCAAATTTTTTTGACTTATTAAAAAAATTGAGATTTCGTTAAAAAATTGTGGTGAATAGAAGTTATGTAAATTTTCTAAATAATTTCGTTAAAAATCGTAATTAACAAATAGAAATTATGAAAATGCTCATCCTTTTTTTCGAAAAAAAATTTAAAACGTTCTAAAAAAATGTGATTTATAAAAATCTTCTTCCTTTATTTCTAAAAAAACTTCGAATTTTGTTTAAAAAAATGCAATTGAGGAATATAGAAATAGTGCAAATTACTTGCTTTTTTAAAAAACAGAACTTTGTTGAGAAATCGTGATTAAAAATAGGAATATTGCAAAATTTTTAATTTTTTTCTTAAAAAAACTGATGATTTAGTTAGCAAAATAAGATTCCAAATCGATAAATGTCCAAATAATTAAAAATTGATTTTGTAAATTTTAAAATGGAGTTCTAGAATTCTAAAATCGTGTTCAGAACTTTTGCAATAGAATGCTTTAAATAATAAACATATAGCACAATTGCCAAAAATCAATTTTTGAAATTTTCATATATTATAGATAAATATCCAGTAATTAAATAAGTACGAAAACTAAATAAAAAAAGGTGCACATGTGAAAAGTATTTATAATATTTAAAAAAACAGAAAATTTTGTACAACAATTGTGATTATAAAATAAACATTATAAAATTTTTCATACTTATTTAAAAAAATTAATATATTTAGTTAAAATTGTAATTAACAAATAGAAATTTTTCCAAAAGAAACTGAAAATTCTCTGAAATGATGCAAATTATTTCCATTTTTCAAAGAAAAACAGATTTTGTTAAAAAATTGTGATTACACGGAAAAAAATAGTCGCAGAAATTTTCAGCGACTAATCGAAGACTCTTGGATATGATCGAATCTTTTATAGACTTTTAGAAATGTTCTACGATTTTAGCAGAAATTCTCCAAAAAAAGTCGAGGACTTTCTAGAAACCTAGTAGCGGAAAACAGTCTCGGAATTATTCTAACACTTCATAGAAGGTTTCGTCGACGAGTCGCGGAAAATGGTGCGCACAAAAGTTGCGCGCGTTAAAACCAATAAACACTGTTTTTTTAACATTTTTTTTAACAATTTATGACAATTGATTGTCAAGATTATTATTATTTTTATTATTCAATGTGTCGATATTAATATATACATTAAAAAATTCTAAATAATTTCCGCGACTGTCAATTAAAAATTAGAACGCTGTAGAGTAAATTCAGGTTTGTAATTTTCCGCGACTGTGGCGGAATCGGTTACATGCGCGTGGAGTCTTCATTTTCTTCGACAGTCGCGGAAAGTTTCTTCAAATGTAGTCTATTTCTTCAAAAACTGTGAATATGATTTTTAAAACACTTTCCACTAAATCCGAGAGTCTTCAACAAAGTCGAGGAAAATTTCCGCGACTTATTTTTTCCGTGTAGAAATGGGCATTTTGTAAAAATTTTCTTTTTTTTCAAAAGGAAACTCCTAATTTTGTGAAGATATTTGCGATTGAGAAACAGAAAATATGGAAAATGTTTTCTATGCCCTAATCTTAATTTTTTAACAATTTTATAATTTTTTTTAAAGATAAGAAAAGAGAGCTGCTCGATTCTGATTTGCAAAACAAATAAGTTTTTTATATTAAAAAAATGAAAATTTTTTGAATGAATTCTCTTTTTAATGACATTTATTAACAATATTCCAAGGTTTAATTAATTTTCTGAATTTCTGTTTTATAAGTAGGGGAGACTGGGGTAAACCCGCTCACTAGCGATTTAACGCGATGAACTCAACTTAAGATGGATATATTGATACTGTGAATAGTACTTAACATTCAACTTATATTAACGAACTTTCGTTTAGTTTCATGAATTCAACATAGAATCAGAGGCAATCAAATGTTTTTAGAGGTATCAGAAAAAAAACGTTTTTTGGATTTTTAAGTTTTTCGATAATTATTTTTGAGTCTTAATTTATTTGGCAAATTTTTTTTTGTTGCTATTGGATGTCCTTCTTCGAAGTACATGTATAGTTTTATCTTATTTCAAAAAGATTTAATTAAAATTCTGAAATGTGAGGAATACACTCGGGGTAAAGTCGCTCACGTGAAGTCGGGGTAAAGCCGCTCACTTAGTTTTCAATTTAAAATTTAGAGTAAAATAATTTCACGTATTATATTTTAACAATAACATTATTTATGACTTGTTAAAACCAAAATTGTAACTACATTTCATTTTCTCTTAATAAAATATAACATTATTTAAATCCATAGTTGTAATTCATGAAACCTATATTCATTATTTATTAAACCAATTTGTTGTTTATAGAATTGTTTATAGAACTTATAGTTTATCAAAAATAAGTCACGACGGGAATAAGACGAATTTTAATATTTAAAAAATAAAACTGTTCCGTCTTGAAAAGATAAAGTGAGCGGGTTTACCCTGGAAAATTGTAATTTCGAAATTTGGTACATGTGTATATTAAAAAGTTTCTCTAAGTAAAACTAAAAAAGATAAATCAAAAACTCTTTTTTATTTTTTTAGTAGAAATCATAAGCTTTTAAATGATATAAATTAACTTGGATTTAGAGAATAATTTCCTAGATTTTTACCGATCTGAAAACAAGTGAGCGGGTTTACCCCAGTCTCCCCTATATAATTTGTAACTCCAACGCAAAAAAATAAAATAATCAATAAAAACATTTAATAATTTTTTTAGAATAATAAAGATTTTTTTAATTAATTAAAAAATAAAAATAATATAAATAAATTTCAAAAATGAAAGTAGTAGGGTCATTTGGGGTAAATGTAAACAAGGGGTAAATGTAAACGCAGTAGATGTTTCAGCTAAATTTACAAATTTAAAAATAAGTACGACGTCAATATTTTTACCTCAGCTCACCTACAACATGTTCTGAGTATTGACAATATTTTATTTTGTCAATTGGCAATGCCATAGTGTAAGTTATCTTTTAATGCAAAAAAGATTGAAAATCAAAGTTTACTGTTTCAGTATTTTTTCTCGCATTTGCACAAAAATAAATTAAAAAATCAAACTAAAATTTGTAATTCTTCCCTATTAATATGCCTTAACAAAAATTGACTTTGATTTTTGATTTTCGTCAATTTAGTTAATAAATAATTAAGTGTTTACATTTACCCCGAGAATTCGAAAACTCGGGGTGAATGTAAACAGAACTTGAACTACATTTTAAAAGAAAATAATTGAATAAATTTGCTTCTATTTCACAATTTCATTACTTTGGCAATGTAAAATTACATAGAAAAGGAAATTAGGTCTTCTGTCATATCTCGTTCGTGTTAGTCAGTTAGTCATAATTTATGTTTGACCGCCATATTGGATCCACCATTTTGAAATTCAAAAATTCGATTTTAGATTCTTATTCAGCAACCTTAAAAACTTCTTTTTACCAAGTTGAATGAAAATCTATTAAAATTTGTTTAAGTTATTCAAGTTTTTGCATTACTAATTTTGTAATGGTTGATTGTTTATTTTATATGATACATTATCAGTCAACTGGTTGTTTTACTATACATCTACGAAGAATTTTTTTTTTAGTTTTTCCATCCCTTAAAACAGTAGTATACTTGAAATAACTTGTTTCTTAAACCTCGCTTAACTACAGTGGTGTTAACATTTGCCCCGAATTTTAGGAAAATTTCAAAATCTCGGGATAAATGTAAACAGTCATATTTAGGCGATTCAGGTGCATCAATATTTTTTGTACCTCATAAAATTGTTCTAGGGAAGTAATGTAACAAGTTCATGTAAAAGAAATCCGTCCGTTTTACCTTTTAGCAGAAAAAAACTAATGTTTTTGTTGAAAAATAGATATTCCGTTTACATTTACCCCAAATGACCCTATAATATTTTCTATAAAAATGTATTAAAAAACAAAAGCATAATCATGATTAACTTCAGGTGTGGACAGACTGGACAGAATGAATACGATGGTTATTATAGTTAATATTTTTTTGCTAATTTATTTACTAATTTAATTTACGAATTGAGTCACTCACTAAATTAATTTAGTAAACAATTCTTTTGAAATTGAAAATATAAATTATTGAAAAAATATCAAAACCACCTCGGTGGCTTGTAATTAAATTGCAAATAAAAAAAGGAAGAGCGAAAAATAGATTCCATCGTGAAAAAGAAGTATGCAAAACAGAGTGCATTTATAAAAGAAATTATTATAGTGCAATCTCATGGTGTATACGGGGCAAGGAATCAATATTGGCGGATTGGTTCGATAACGCCTCGTAAATATAATAAAGCCTCCCGCTCTTTGCGCGGCGGGAGATGATGATCGCAGTCCTAAGGTTCGCGAATGCTGCTCGCGTAGCAAATAGTGTTACATAGAAATTGGTGTATATTTATGCATACACCACCACAGATATACATTTACTACTATATATATACATTTACTACTACATATGTATATTTACCACCATATATACACACAGATGTTTAGGAGAAATAGCCACACTCGATTCCTCACACCCCCGCTATTGAAAACCTTCTCGTCCTTTTATAATCCCTCCACCTAAAGCCCCCACTCGTTCACTCTCTCTCAACGTCTGACTCGTGCACGGGACTCTTCACTATTCTCAGGCAGCACAACTTGAACTCGAATCAGTGAGTTTCAGCTCGAGCCGGCGAGCGGTTGTGCATGTCTTTCCCCATCACAACCAATTCTCATTTTGACGTTTCGTTTCCCATGTCAATTTTCCATCCCGAAAAAATTTGAAAACTTCCCTCAAAAAAAAAAAAAAAAACAATTCCACTCGCCAAGGATTATTCAAAACAAAAACTACAAAACACATCTCAAAGGATTAAAAAAAGCAAGGAAGTGTAAATAAAGTGAGTGATTCTTCCCAGTGGATTATACAATATTTTTGGATATTTCGGATTTTTTGCATCTTCAGTGTTTTTGGGTGATGATCGCTTAGCCTTCAGTTTGCAGTCGGTTAACTGTTGGTTTGAAAAAAGTTGATATCAGATAGTTGATATCAGTTTGCTATCAGATCGCCATCAGTTTGCTATCAGTTAGCAATCACTTTGCTGGCAGGTAGCCATCAATTTGTTATCGTTTAGCCATCAGTTTGCTATTTAGTTAGCAATCAGTTGCCTTCAGTTTGCTATTAGTTATCAATCACTTGACAATCGGTTTGCAATTAGCTAACAATCAGCTTGCAAGCAATCAGTTTGCAGTCAGTTAAGAATCAGTTTGCAATCATTTAGCAATCAGCTTGCAAGCAATTAGCAATCAGTTAACAATCAGTTTGCAAGCAGTCAACAATTAGCGAACAATTAGTGAATATCTATAATCATAGTCGGTTAAAAAGTTGTTCAGTGATTATTGTCGAGCACATACGGAAAATTAATTAATAATCAGGAGTTACTTACAAAAATCAGTGATCTAATTCGTCTTAAGTGAATTCTTCAATTCTTTCAATTCCAAAAAACAAATCAAAAACAACTCACCGAAAAGTGATCAATTAAATTCTTCGCCTATCCAATCAAAAAATTTTCTTCTCCCTTGGGGCAAAAATTTCGCAATTCTCTGTGTATATTTTCGAAGCGCAATATACAGAGAGGATAGGAAACCGGCAGCTCAACCCGGAGACTTCAACGCCTGTGTGTGGTCCTTCTTGCTGCTGCGGAACCCGCGAGTCCGGTGGATCTCCTCTCGATCGAGAGACCTTGGGCGTACGTAGTTGGTTATTTCGTTCTCGAGGTTGAGAGATCGAGGATACACAAGGCGAAGCCAGAAGAAGTAGACGAAGAAGAAGAAGAAGAAAAAGTAAGAGGACAAGAAAGAGGGAAATGGAGTGAAGCGAGTTCTAAAGAGCCTTTTTCAAACCACATGAGAGAAAGTCCCTTTTTCGCGACAGAAAAAAAACATAATAATGAACTCTTCATAAACAAGAAAAAAATGAACTCTTGATAAACAGGAAAACAAAAGGAAAAAGAAATAAGAAAAGAACTCTTCGTTAAAAGAAATAATGAACTCTTCGTGAACAAAACAATAATGAACTCTTCGTAAACAAATCAATAATGAATAGTTTTCTATTTTACGAATAGTTATTCGTAAAGAAAATCAATTTTTGGGAGGATGTCACTCCCGAAATTTTCCTCTTCTTCAAATAAACGATGACGAAAGTTTATTTGAGGATTTTTTACCGCAGGAGGAAATAATCACCGCACGTGTGTGTTTTCTTCACGCTATTCGCTCCAAAAGTGTATTCTAACAGTTTCACGTTTTAGTGCGTATCGTTCTAATATTATATTTCTATAACATAAATTCTAAATATATACTTTTTCGTTTGGAAATTTTTAAATTCGAGAATTTTCAAGTGCTTTATATACGTGAACAAGTGATTTGAACGGAAACAAAGTGCGATTTTATATTAAAGGAAAACAAAAATTCCTGGATTATTGTCAAATGCAGTTTGCCGAACCGAATAAGACATGAGTGTAAGTCGAAATTTTATTTTATTTCTCGAAAAATTTGATTAATTTTTACACTTCAAACCAAAGGGATAAAAATATGAGAGCAAATCGGGGGAAATTTATAATATTCCTAAATTTTTCAATGCATTCAAATGCGAATAAGAAATATTTTTCTGTTCTACAATAACATTTTCCGAAATTACTGACTCAAATGACAAATATTGTAAATCAACATTTATTTCAGTATTATTAAATATTAGTCATTAATTATATAGTAATAGAAAGAGTAAGAGTGAAATTTTATACGCGCAGAAATAGAAAAGGCGCAAGATAGTAAAATTCATATACAGAAGGAAAACAATTATATGTATTAACCAAGGAAGGAAAGAATTTTGCGATCATAAAAGCTAAAGCACGTCGCGATTATTTTTTTTCTCGCGCGAAACTCTTCCAACATCACGCGGAGAGTATAGGGTTTGGTTGCCACAATGGAATTATATGATGGAAGGTTCTTAACTAATGTGAAAATCAATTATATATTATTTCCCGGTGGTTATAATACAAATAGCTACAAACTATGCAATTTACTGCAGCCTTCCTTCTATGCGGATCAGTTTTACACTTTGAGGTAATAGAAATATAGCATTACTGTCATACACAAAATTAACAACACGTTCAATTTGATTGGCAGTCCGCATGAAAATGTAGAAAGAATCAAAATTAATCGTAAATTTTTCATTAATTAATAAATGGTAATTATTAATTTATGGTATAGTTTTGCTATATTCAAATTGACCGTTAAACTATATTGATAAATGAATAAAAATTTAGCAAAAAGCAAAGTTCAAATTCAAAGTTTAGCAAAACTTTGCTTTCTGCTAAATTTTATATATCAAATCAAATTCTATATATAGTTTAAAATTTGTCAAAACTCTTTTTCGCTAAAACTTTGAATTCGAATCTTAATTAAAATTTAGCAAGAAGCAAAATTTTTTTTATTAATTTCGATGTTGAATCTATAAAAAATTTAGCAAAAAGCAAAGGTCAAATATAAAATTTAGCGAACATTTACTTTTTGCTAAGTCTTTAACCCCGTAACTGCCGGCTGAAAAACAATAAATGTGCCCAGAATGCCAAAAATAAAAAATCATCCAATTTGTTTGAAACTTGTTACTCAGGGGTTTTCGGGGTCGTTGATTAAGAATCTGATGTCAGTGATGTCAGTGATGTCAGCTATATAGGTGATTTTTAAGTTTCTGAGTTTAACTTTTTCATGAACATCTTTTAACCTTTATCATCAACTACTATATTTATAAATAACAAAAGTCTTCAGTATGCACCCCCTAAACTTATGTCAAATTGGGTTCGAGGACATTGACAATGATTGTTTTGAATTTTATATCATAAATCCTAATTTTATAGTTATCCTTTATTCATTGACTTTGTGCACTTTTTAACTTTTATAAATTGTTTTAGTACATGTGTATATGCTTGTTAATATTAATTACGCAAATTAAATAACATAAAAAAAATTTACATAAAACCGAAAAAACTAAACGAATTTAAAAAATAGAAAATAGAAAAAAATACAAAAAAGAAAAAAAGTGGAATGCTAAATCTTATTGTCAACCTTCTCGAACTCAATCGGACAAAGGTTATAAGAAGTTCATAAAAAAGATAAACTAAGAAACTTATAAATCACCAAATATACATTTGTATATTTCAAATATCATATAATATCATATAATATCATATTACTCTTCAATATCATATCATCTTATAAAAATAATAACTATTTTTAAGTTATACTGATCGAGTTTTAAAAAATCGACCGCCATATTGGATTCGCTATTTTGAAACCATTTTATTTTTAATTTTCAGACATTTTTGACTTTAATTTTTATCATGGCAAAGATTGTCACTTTTCCGGCACTCAGAGCAAAGTCCGAAATGGCAAAGATCTTTGACATCGGCAGTCAAGTAGTTAAGTTCAAAATTTAGGAAAACTGCTTTGATTTAAAATTAAATTCTAATTCAAAATTTATCAAAACTTTACTCTTTACTATAAATTATAAATGAGATTTAAATTCAAAAATTTAGCAAAAAATAGGAATGTTTTGCCAAATTTTTAATCTGGATCTAATTAAAAAAATATGCAGACAACAAAGTTCAAATATAAAATTTAACAAAATTTTGTTTTTTGGTAAATTTTAGAATTCAAATATTTAAAATTTATCAAGTTTAATTTTCTAAATTCAAAATTTATCAAAAATTAACTCTTTGGTTAATAAGAATAAGTAATATTGAAATTCAAAAATTTATCAAAAAGGAAACTTGTGACAAATGAATCTGAATCTTAAAAATTTGAGAAAAAAGCGCAAATTCAAATTTGAAGAAAACTTTACTACTCTGAATTAATTGCTAGAGAGTAAAAATTTTTTTTGCCTGAAGTTTGCCCTCAAGTTCCCTCTCAAAAAAAAGAATTACTTCTCCAATAGAAGTCAAGACGACTTATGTATAAAATTCACCAATACATAATACACCCAAAAGAAATTTTCAAAGACTTGTATCATTTGGAAAGAAAGGAAAAAAATTATCCCCCCAGTGATTGGCATTTCAACCATAAATAATTGATTTTCAATATATACATAGAAAGAAGAAGAAACTCCAAAATGAAAAAAAAACCGTTTGATTTAGTGTGTGCTCGATGATTATAATCGCTGTTTTACCTCAAGTTGGGTACATCCTCAACAGCGCGCCTCTTCTTATACGATTTGTTATTTCTCTCTCTCTTGAAGACACGAGGGCCATTCAACAAGAGAGAAGTAATAAAATCCCAGAGGGGAGTCTTCTAAACAAGGGAGGTCTATTTGAATTCGAATATATTTTTTTTGAAAAAAAATTTTGTGGCTAGATCGAGGCGCGTGTGTATAACGTTATCTGTCGAGATGTATTTCCTCATTATCTGTAATGTATAATCTTTATTCATATATTTCTCTTATGGAATGTTGTGTCAAAAACTATCATCTGCTGTTCTTTTTATTATTGAATTTTTTTGGTTATTCAATTCAAATCAAGGGGGAGGATGAAAATTTTCCCGATTTTATGAGGATCATAAGTTTGTTTTGATGGTTTTGGAAGAGTCGAGTAACTAATTTCTTTTGTTAAGTGACTATAACTCTTGGGCCGAATTAAATTTTTGGGTCCTTTGCTTGATGCTGTATTCGTTTTTCTTGGGAGTCGAAAGTATTTATTTAAGATTTTATTTTTTGGATCCTTTGCTTGATGCTGTATTCTTTTTTCTTGAGAGTCGAAAGTACCCAACGGGAAGTTGCCAATGGTAACGATTGGTTCAATAATGGGCCATGCTTGGTGCCCAATGGTTTTTTCTGGGCAAAACAATTGGCAACCATCATTGGACCACCAATGGTTTAAACTTGGGATGATCACGCTACTGCCAATGATCGGTAACTAAGCATCGGGCCAATATTAGTTGCCAAGGAATTGCCAAGGAAACAAAATCGATTTTCAAAAGCTTGATTTTTTATTGGCAGCCAACAAAAAACCAAGGTTTTGAAAATTGATTTTTTTTAATTATTAATTAAAATTTATTTTTCAAAAATTTATTCTAAAAAAATATATTTTTTTAAATTAATAGAACGTATTAATTTAATTTTTCACCTCTGGTAAAGCAAAGGTGAAAGACTGATAAAAATTCCCTCACTGTATCTCACAGTGGAGGGATAACTGTGAATGTCTTTGCGAGAGAGGAGCAGGTACTTATAGAGCCAGTGTAACAGGTCACAAGCGAGAAGAAATCACTAGCATGCACTCTGGCGGCGCTTGTCGGAAGTGGCGCAACGTTGGTTGCCAAGCGCTGTGTCGATAATGTCAGGATATGCATGCGCGCCAGAAAACAGTTCCGACAGGCGCCGCCAGAGTGCATGCCAGTGATTTTTTCTCGCTTGTGACCTGTTTCACTGGCTCTATAAGTACCTGCTCCTCTCTCGCAAAGACATTCACAGTTATCCCTCCACTGTGAGATACGGTGAGGGAATTTTTATCAGTCTTTCACCTTTGTTTTACCAGAGGTGAAAAATTAAATTAATATGTTCTATTAATTTAAAAAAATATATATTTTTAAAATAAATTTTTGAAAAATATATTTTTTTAAAATAAATTTTAATTAATAATTAAAAAAAATCAATTTTCAAAACCTTGGTTTTTTGTTGGCTACCAATAAAAAATCAAGCTTTTGAAAATCGATTTTGTTTCCTTGGCAATTCCTTAGGAACTATAATATTGGCCCAATGCTTGGCTACCGATCATTGGCACTAGCGTGATCATCCCAAGTTTAAACCATTGGTGGTCCAATGATGGTTGCCATTAATGTTCCAATAATGGAACGGAGTTCGCCAAGCATGGCCCATTATTGAACCAATCGTTTACTTCCCATTGGGTATATTTACATTAAAATTCAATTCTTTTGGATCCTATGCTTGTTGCTGTATTCGTTTTTCCTAGGAGTCGAAAGTATTTATTTAATTATCTTTATACAAGCATCATCACTACAACCGCGAAATGTTCTCCACTCTTTATTTCTTACAACTTTTACAACAGTTTTCTTTTTTGCAACATTTGCAACATTGTTTTTCCTTTGCAACATATTTACATAAACTATGGAGATCTTCTCAAGTTGAGTGATTCGACGGGTGACATTTGTAATTGCAAGAAAAACGGTAAATATCTACTGCATAGGAATGTGATAGCCAAAAGAAAGAATCGAATCGCCAGCTCTCGACTCGAGTGGCAAAGTCGTTCAATTTTTGCTTCTATGCTACTCGCCAAACAATCCAAGTGGGGGAGAATGGAAAAAAGAGCAAGGCAATCATCGTGTTCGGTCCACAGCTTATTAGTTCGCATTGGTTCGCGCGAAAACCGGCTGGACAATGAAGCGAGATTGCATATTGTTGTTTATATTTACGCGGCGCGGCATAAATCTTCGTTTAACTCGCATTCAGAGT